TCCCCAGCCCTAAAATTTTTTTTTTTTTTTTTTTTTTTTTTTTCTCCGGTACCAGGAACTGAACTCATGACCTTGCACTTGCCAGGCAGGTGCTTTGCCGCTGAGCTAAATCCCCAGCCCTTTTGACTCACTGGATTTTTGACAACCCTTAGGCTTAGATCCTTCTTGCGTGTCTCTGTCTTCCTGAGAAACCACTTCAAAGATACCACCATGTATTACAGCAGCCATTGATATTTTCCTACTAATCTATCCATAACTCTCCAGTGTTTGTATTGTTCCTATCCTATTTCATAAATGGATGCATGTCTATCATTATGTGTTCCTTACAACAACTACTGAGAAAAGTTAATGATTATTCAATAGGTCACTCACTTATAGCTCTGTTTATTTACTTTAGAAGCCACTTTGAAGATACCAAAGTATAGTACAACAACTATTGTTAATCTCCTACTTCTTCTGTCTGTAGCTCACTATTATTTGTCCATTTGTTTTCCTGAGAAACTATCTTGTGGATAACAACATGTGAAACAATAACCATTGATAATTTCCTACCACTTTGTCTGTAATTTGGTAAGCCCCCCCATTATTATGTTATCCTTCTTTTACTCTTTAAAAAAAAATTAGAAAGCAAAATATATATATATATATTAAACCGGTTCTTGTAATACAAATAGAAACGTTGTAGAAAACAAGTACAAATATGTATGTGTGTGTAATGCATGCATATATATATGTATATATCTACACAGCTGTCTGTATATTAACCTACATTTCAATGTTTACACATATATAGGTATATATGTGCATGTATACATACATAAATACACATAGATGCATGTATACTCAGCCAGAGAAAAATAACAAATCACCACAGCACAGTTGAAGTCTGGGCAGAAATAAAGTAACAAAATGAGCCTTCACCCTGAGCTGCAATTCCCTTAAAGTTATATGGTGATTTTGCAAATGGAAAGAATTTTTAGAAACTCATAGGACCAGAGGAACAAAATTACAAATCAGAGACTATCAAAAGTTAGGCTCTGGGAAATATCCCAGACCTTAAACAGCCAATTTTTAGAAGTAAAATTGAATTTCTAATAGACAACTTCTTATAAGGACTGAATCTCAGGTTTAAATTACATCAGTCACTGATTGTATTAAATTGATCTAAGATACTGGTGCCTTTATTCTTTCTACCTGTCAGAAGCAAAGGTATATTATCTACAGAGGAAGGTAAAAATCATATATGTAGTTCTTTTCATAAGAACTAGTTACCATTGTCTCCAAAACATAGAAGAATATGTTAAGATGAGATTGAAAAAGAACACTAGAAAATAGAACCTGAGTCACATGAGTCATATAATGCACATGACATTAACATACAGTCACATACCACACAACAATGCTTCAGCCAATGACAAATGGCATATCTCATGGTACTTTCATGAGTTAGTACTGCATACAGAGGTAGTCTTATTCAGTTGTGTACGTACACCTTCTCATACTGAACAAGGATGTGATCAACTAAGCATGTGTTTTCTGAAACTGTGCTCATCATTAAATGACACATGGCTGTACCTATCTGAGAAATTTAAAAGTAGGAATGAGAAATGTTTTATTTTCAGGAAATAATTATGTTTAAAGAATGAAAGGTAAACCTCAGAATTTTGGTTAAAACTGAAAACATGATAGAACCCAATCAAAATTTTGAACCCCATAACATTAACAATTTGAAAACCTTGATGGATGAATTTTTCATCAAGCAGTAGGCAAATTGAAAGATGGGATAGAAGGAAATTCTGAGATTAAAGCACAAAGAGACAAAAAGTAGAGAAATACTATAGAAAGTACTATAAAAGACATATGTAATCTGCTGAAAAAGGGTATCTTGTAATTTCAATCTCAAAAAAGAAGGAGAAAATGGGGCACAAACAGTGTTTGAGGGGACAAAACTGAGAATCTACCAATGATGAAGGATGACATTAACTCACATATGAAATGATAATAAGATGATGGAGACCTATTTTAATGAAATGGTTGAGAGATAGACCTAAGCAGATGTTTCCACTGAACAGTTTTCTAAAGCAAGTTTTCTTCAAAAGTGTCTTGTCATATTTTGTACCACAGTAGTAAGGGCCAAAGGCCAATGAAGTCTTCTATAGCTTAAACTCAAAGAAAAGAATTTTCTAGGCTGTCATGCATAAACATGAGGATACCGTAGGATCTCTAGCTTCATATCTGATGCATTAAATCTAAAATCCATTTTTCTCATCACATGAATGCTTCCCATTTTAATTCTCTTCATAAGGTCCAGAATTATTTATCACTGAGGACAGTCTCCATTTCATTCCTCACTCTCACAGGAGCTCCTGTAGTTACCTAGGTTTCTCCGTGGTCCTAGGCCTCAGTATTATTATCTTCTGCTCTCTATTGGATGAGAAACATGACTGGTTAATGGGATGTAATCCACACATAAGAATTTTGGAAAATGAGAAAGCATGGTAACAAGTAAATTTCATCTTCAGTAGGTTCCTCAGTAAAGTCGAAAGTATGCTTCGAAATCACTGAGAAAAAGAAGGATAAATTAATCTCCCTTCTCATCATTTATAAAAAGTGTTTCCCTACAACATCCTGTGAGAGAACACATAAACACATGGCAAGATGGAAAGCAGGGTTTTTCTTGGAAATGATACGATAGGTGTTAATATAAAATGTCAGAGCATTTCCAATTGAGGAGTAATTCATGGGCTTTGGCTATAACACCAAAATTACAGCAGCTATGAGTACAATATGTAGAAAACTATTCAAAAGCAATTACAGACATTACTGAGCTACACCTTTTTAAATGAGGGAGCATACTTATGAGAGGATGACCACACCTATTCCTCAGAGTATATAAACATTGTTCTCCAGAGGTAACATTAAAACTCACAGCCTTCTCAGTTCCACTCAGCTGAACTCACACCTCCTCGAAACATGACCTACGGCTGCTCCTCTGGAAACTTCTCCTCCCGCTCCTTTGGGGGCTACCTGGAGTACCCACGCTCCTCCTGTGGCTCTTCCTACCCCAGCAACCTGGTCTACAGGGCTGATCTCCAGTCTCCCACCAACTACCAGCTGGGCTCCTCTCTCTACAGCGGTTGTCAGGAGACCTTCTATGAGCCCAGCAGCTGCCAGAGGTCCTGTGTGGTGTCCAGCCCCTGCCAGACGTCCTGCTACCGCCCCAGGGTCTCCACCTTCTGCAGTCCCTGCAAGACGACTTACACTGGATCTCTGGGCTTTGGGTCCAGCAGCTGCCGCTCCCTGGGCTATGGATCTAGAAGCTGCTACTCACTGGGATATGGATCCAATGGCTTCAGATCCTTGAATTATGGAATCTGTAGCTTTCCTGTTCTGAATTATGGATCCAGTTTCTGTAACCCAATCTGTTTTCCCTCTAGGAGTTTCCGTTCTTCTTGTCACGGGCCATTTTATAGATCTGTCTTTTACTGAATAATCTGTTAATTCCCTAAACCCATTTAGGATATGCAGATTCTGTGGTAGGATCATCTATGAATTTTATCCATTGAGAAGTATCTAGCAGTTCTTGAAAATCTGCTCTTCTTTCCTTTCTAGCCCTTAAATACCACCTGATACACTGATTCTATAAACTGTAAAATTAAATGAATTTCTCCTCCAAAACAGAAAAATCAATTAATTTTATTATAATAAATTCTTCACTTTGCTCTTGAAATATGCTGTTAGTTTTTTTATTTGCTAGTAATGTACTGATTGGGACTTGTTTTGTCAGTGCTTCTGGTCATGGTTTTAGGAATCATCAGATAGTTGTGCATGTACACTGAATTTAACTGGGTTTTAGGCATTTTCCTCCATTTACAGCAAGTTTCCCAAATTCTCATGGCTTCTAGTATAGTTTTTTTCTTAACCAAAATTTAAAAAAAATTTAAATATCATTGATTACTTAATTAATATGACATACATTTCTAAGGATGGAATTTATCTTACATTTGAAGAATGTAAGAATTGCGATTTGCATCATGGAATCTGTGCGTGAAAAATATTAAGACAGAGGATTAAGGTGTGGATGAACATTTTCAGAAAAGTGAGCCTTCTGAGCTTCAGGGATTCACAGTATAGAACGTTAGCTTTTTTTGTTTTTCTAAGAAAAGAGCTGAATCCTTATACTCCTATCAACATTTTCTTTTTTTATTTTAAAGAGAATAAAAAATAATAAAATAACAACAGAGACTAAAACAACACAAAATCAATAAGAACCATACAGGATTTCAAAACCAAATGATAGAAATTAACAATGGTTATTAGATCACATATTGTTATCTTCAACCAATTTGCTCAGATTACCAGATGTAAGAATGCAAGATTGATCAAACAGTTAAAGAGATTAAAAAGTAATGATCTGTTCATATTGTTTCCTCTTGTACAAGAAGGAAGGCAACAAACTTAGATAGAAAAGCTAAGCTCAGCAACAGTGAAATTGCACCTGGATTCTTTGCCAAGCTAAATCTAATTGAAAGCATCAAAACTTTACTATCATCAAAAGTGACTCTTTTACTTTTATCTTGAATTAAAATTAGATAAGCTGTATTTATTGCAATTTTTTGCCTTTGATCCAAATTTTAGAAAAAGATACTATCAAGTCAAAGATACTTTCAACTGTACTAAGATAGGACAACATTAAAGGGAGATATAATATTTATATAAAGCAAGTGATGGTCTAATGTTTTCCTTATCTTTGTTTTATAAGCTCTTCAAACACCCTCTGAAATTGCAAATAGAATGTAAAATATTAGAACCTTCACAGTACATTTAATCTTATAAGTGTAGTGTAGTCATCCATCATGTTTACTTCCTCACTTGGGAAAATAATAAAATGTGAGATATAGAAGGACCTTGTTAATTTCCATATATTTATTCTACAGTGGTAGATGTTTAAACAGAAGACTTATATAGACTTTAAAATATTATGTAGAATATTATTGTAGATCCAAGAGTAGTACTGCCTTATCCAATTTGTTTCATTGATTCTATTTAACTAAATCTTGTCACTTACATCCACTCTTCTCTCGTCTGATTTTTTAATTCCTTTTCCCTCACCTGTTCCTTTTTGCCCTTTCTCTTCTTCTTCTTTCACTACTCTATTTAGGAAAGAGCAGTAACAGAGAAAAAAGACACAGAACAACAAAAGAAGAATTGGGGATAAATTAATGATTACAATGCACAATTCATATAGAAATAAATTCCTTTGCAATCTCAGTCCTTTGCATTTGATTTGATTTGATTGATTTCCAAAATTTAAATGCTCTAAATTCATTCCATGCCCTTAATATTTATTCAAGATAAATTGTCAAGTTTCATCCTCCAAAACATAAGTAACGGAACGGCCTTCACAAGCAGCAACTATAGCTGCTTGGCTAGGTTTTAGTCTTCTCTGTTACTGTCATTTTCATAAAGATTTTCACTAGTACATGTGTGTAGTACATATTGTTAACATTCCTTGTGGTGAGACGGTGCATGTACCTAATAGATCTTCATTCCTTTTCTCGTCCCCTTACCTTCCATCTCTCCCCCCTCCACCTATCCCTCGATCCCCTTCCCTTTTTTGTACATATTTGCAGTACCTTATGTTGACACGCTTTGGGTGGAGTTGGTACATGTACCTGACACTCATGGGGGGAGAGGGGAGAAAGGAATGAAAGAGGGGAGGAAGGGACAAGGGGTGAAAAAAGAAGCATTACTTGCAATTTTGAATTTTGGTGTTTTTCCAATCTGATGATATGTGGTAGAACAATCTCTCTGGATTCTGGGAAGCAACAGTAAGGGTAAGCAATGCATATTAAATCAGGTTCTTGGTTGCTCAGGTAAAATATTTGATGTTAGAGTATTTAGTGTAATTTTGACCTATAATATTTTCACCTTACAAAGAGTTTAGAGGAATATAATTCCACTGTAAATTAGAAAGCACATCCATTGTCTTAGTTTCTTCCATATTACTGCAATAACAAACTCCTCTAAACTAAATGATTTAAGCCATACAGATTTATCATCTTGAAGTTTTGTAGGTCTAAATCTCTGGTAATACTAAATTTCCCAACATGCATGCAGATTTCATTCTCTCTGTGTTCCAACCATTCAGTACAGTACAGTCAATTGTGGTCTTTCAATGTTTATCAAATGAATCCCACTCTGCACAATTAACAGGAGACCAGACTGCGTTCATCTGGATTATATCTAGTTGTTTCCAGTGTTTCAGTCTGCTCCTTCTGTACACATTAACAGCTGCCTAAAACTAAGGATTTCTAAGTCAGAAGTTTGTATTCCAAGCATCTGATATTCACATAATTATAATTTCAAAAAGTTGCTAATCATCTGTCATCTATTTGCTGCTCTGGCTTCCAACAATTGATGTAAACTTTTTTCCCCCTAGGAAATTCTCTCATGAATTATTTCTCTATGTTTAATTTCAGTTATTTCTGTGCATTAATGCTTACCTTTTTAGTGATTAGAGAGACCAGATTTGTCTTCCCCAACTCCTTGCCCCATTAACATTTAGTGAATGTTACATATGCCTTGATACACATCATCAAATATTTCCAGTATGGGTTGAACACCACTTGTCCGAAAATTCAAAATTTGATTTACTCCAAAACTGTAAAAATTTCAAGTGCCAGAGTGACACAGTGAGTGAAAGTTCCCACATCTGAATGCATGCAGTGGATTATAATCAAAATATCTACATTAAAAAGTGTGAAACAAAATTTCCTTCAGGCTACATGGATTAAGTAAATACAAAACATAAATGAAGTTTTTGTTTGGATTTGAGTCCCATTCCCCCAATAATCTTATTATGTTTATGCAAATATTTCAAAATTTGAAAAAGTCTAAAATCTGATACATTTCTGATCCTGACTATAGAGTTACTGAGGATTTACCATGAACCATAATCTTTATTATGAAGATACACCACTGGAAATATTTTGAAAATAGATTGTACTTGCTCATTCCTCTATAATGAGTAATGTTAAGAATTATGTAGGCTCTATTCTAAGAAAGTTGAGGATCTAATAAAGAAATCTTAAATAGATAATTATTTGCAGTAATGATAAAATAGAGATCAGAAGTCCTTGATGCTAAATTAATGTGTCAAAAGAATCTCATTAATCTTAGGACTCAGGAAAATTTTCCTAATAAGAATAACATTTGAAATAGGCTTAGAGGATAAGCAGGAAATGGATAACAGGAGCCTGGAAAAGTGTGATTAAGGCCAAAATCTTAAGCTATGAATGACAACATTGAAAGGCATTTTGACTAGTCATGGACAGAAAAGGAGAAAAATAACTTAAAATAAATCCATGAAGCTATTTTGGAGCCATTCACTGATAATTTTTCTGAGGCTAATTCATGACTGTAGAATTTCTCCTAAAATCCATAAGAAGCTCATTTAAGGTTTTTAAGCAGACAGTGACATTTTCTGATGTGTTGGTGTTCGAAATAATTTAATCCAATGCATGTGCACATATAACAAACTGGACAGATTTTATTAAAGAGTAAAATTAGATGATTTCAAAAGTATGAGCACTTGTGTAATAATATTCAATCAAAATTCATATTTCCCCACTCTGGGCCACTCTCTCGTATTCCTTTTTAATTGATCTGTGTCTCCCAGATGCTACTACTATGAGAGTTTTTACCTTAGTAGTAGCATCTGGAATTAGTATTCTTCTAGAATGATTAGATTAATATTAATATTCTTCTACAATGTCATAAATAACAAAATCATACAGCATTTCTTTTTGGCAACAACCTTTTCACTGAACATGCTTTTGAAATTATATTGTTTAATGTTTTATGTTGTTTTTGTGTTTTGATCCTTTTGTCAATATATCACAATGAGTTTATTATTTCACCTATTGATGGACATTGAATTATCTCAAATTTTTTAAGTTGATCAGTAAAACTATACTGAAGATTGATCACTACATTCATTTTGTCGATATTTTAAAATTATTTTTTCTTGGAGCAAAAGCTCTTAATGGAAATTCTGTGGAGTGAGTAAGTGCTGACTTTCACTGGAAATTACCAACAGGTTGTTTTAAAATGAGCTTTGTAATGTTACTTTCACACCAGCGATGCCCTAGAGTTCTACCATTATCGATGTCATGAATATTTGACAGTGTCAATTTTCTTTCCCCACGAGGTGGATGTTAACTGCCATCATCCTGTGATTTTAATTTCCATTTACTTTGTGAGTAGCGATTTTCAGCATTTTTTCTTACACTTCGTGGCCATTCCCAAGTCTCCTTTTGTGTAGTGTTCGTTTACTTTTCAAAGTAAGCCCACTGTCATAATAATGGCTGTTAATAACATTCCACTTGTCACTCTTTTCACTGTTTTTTATTTTAAAGAGAAAAAAGTAAAAATAACAATAAAAGAGTTTCAAAATAGGTTAGTAGTATAATTATAATAATTAATAC